GTCATGCATTTCTGGACAAGTAAGCAAAGAGAAGTAGAATATGGAGGTATTTGGTAAGGCCTGCTGATTGTACAGATAAATATAAGTTAGCATTGACCTTATTCAAAACTTGAAGAGCACTATACACATTTCTTAGAACAGTCTAAAAGTTTTCATCTAATCATGTTGATTCCATGCCTCAAACTATTTAGGCTGCATGTGACCCACCACGGAGTAACTGTGATTTTAGAAAGTCACTTGAATTGTTTCATTTCCTGATGAGTAAAATAGATCAGAACTGTTTTATACCAGGACTGGCCTCAGCCATGGGGCTTTAGGCAAGGAGACTTGTTTGTACAAAAGCAGTCAGCCCAGAGATCCCCTGTAAGCTTTACCCAGTTTTTTCTGGAAGACAACTCCCTGGGCCTTCCATGTGGGAGACACATGGGCAGTCCATTTATACAGTGTTTTTCTTGGATTCTGAATCTGGGATGATGCTTAATGGTGTTATTCCACTTTATCTTCCCAGTTGCCCCATTTTACACACACAGACCTGAGGTGGGATGTTAGAGTAGCTTTCTCTGGTGCCCAGCTTTGGGAAAGAGGCCAGAATTCAAACAGACCTGTCTTCCTGCAAAGGTAATATTCTTCCCACCCTGCTGCTGCTGCTGTTGTAAAAAATTAAAATGAAGCAGAATAAACTTGGGAGCTGGGCTTAGATTGCAGATTCTTGGAACCCATCAAAGTGTATCTTGAGGTTCTGAGAAAGATCTTAGAAGTTTTCGATAAAACCACTAAGGACATACAGTCTTTTTATCCAAGTAGAGACATATTGAGAATTGAAAAAATTCTTCCATGAAAATATAGACAAGGCAGCTCACTAAAGAAACCTAGAAATATCTATAAGCAAAAATGGATTTCTAGTTAGTCACTTGAACATTCTCTGGATTGAGTAATCAGGGGGAAAAGTGTTCTTTCGAGAAAGTGTTTTGCTGGGGCTAGAGCAATAGCAGGCTGGAGTGATAGCACAGCGGTAGGGCGTTTGCCTTGATGCAGTCAGCCTGGCTGAGTCAGGTTCGATTCCTCCACCCCTCTAGGAGAGCCTGGCAAGCTACGGAGAGTATTCAGTATGCCAAACACAGTAACAAGAAGTCTCACAATGGAGACGTTACTGGGCCCGCTCGAGCAAATCGATAGTGGATAGTGGAGCAATAGCACAGCGGGTAGGGCGTTTGCCTTGCACGCGGCCAACCCGGGTTTGATTCCCAGCATCCCATATGGTCCCCTGAGCACCGCCAGGAGTAATTCCTGAGTGCAGACCCATGAGTAACTCCTGTGCATTGCTGGGTGTGACCCCAAAAAAAGCAAAAAAAAAAAGAGTTTTGCTAATGGGTGCTTTTTTTTCCCCCTCCACATACCAGGGATCATTTATATGCTTTTTAATGGGAGTAATTCAGAACAGAATTTAAGTTTTACATGTATAAGCATTCTAAGAGAACCATAGGGCATTGGCTAGTACTAAAACGTCTGTTGCATTTGTGACTAGGTACTCTGTTAGCCATTGACTTTCAGAGGCCACTGACCATTCACTGCCCAGCATTATTTCAGATTTCCATTCCCATCTTCACATTTGTTATGCTTGGGGAGAAAAATCGTCTAAGCCCTTTGATGTCTAAATTATAAATACCCTCACTTCACTGGGTATGGACCTTGACCCCACCAGGTATTACTGACAGGGCTAGGATATCATTGGATTTGGCCCCAACAAAAATAAAAATAGTCAGTGAAACCAAATGCATTATAAGTAAGTAAAGGCCCTCCCGTTGATTATTGATTTGCTCGAGCGGGCCCAGTAATGTCTCCATTGGAGACTTTGTTGTTACTGTGTCTGGCGTATCGAATACTCTCGGTAGCTTGCCGGGCTCTCCGAGAGGGGCGGAGGAATCGAACTCGGGTCGGCCATGTTGGCTGCGTGCAAGGCAGACGCCCTACCCGCTGTGCTATAGATGCCTATTTTATAGAGAGCATCTGGGATCAAAGCCCTAAGAACTTTAGGTGAAAAAAAAAAATAGTCATGTGACACTGCTCCTATTTGCCTTTCTTGTATCATAGTTCTACACGTAAACTCAGTTAAAAGAATAAAGCAACGGTTTCTCTTTTTTTTAATCTCTCCTAAAAGAAATGATTTTTGGCACCCAGAGCTCCTTGGCTGTTTCTCAATGCTGCCAGAGTCGGGGTGTTTGTTTTCTCTTTGTCATGGTGTTTACATGCCCTGGCTTGGACCCGCAGTGAAAATGCATTTGATGAGCTCCTGGTCTCACCCCAGTCCCTAATGGATGTTTGTCAAAATGACAACACCCATTTTAGCACTCTTAACGCTCTGCGGTGGGCTCCACCGCAGCCTGGACTAGGCCAGGAGTGTGTGCTCGGTGCACATGGCTGGGTGTTTGGACAGTGAACTCCAGAACCTTCCATGACATAAATCCTTCCTCCTCTAAAGTCAGACCATAAATTGTCATTAAGTCAGAGAAATCTCAGATCTTGATTTTTGTCTCCCTGACCCCCACCCCACCACTGGAATGGCGAGCTTCATTACTGGACTTTCTCTGAGGAGCCCAGATTGCTCAACTTTGACAAGGGGAAGCGTCGGCCGCTCAGTGTTATCCGGAGTGACAATGACGGGCTGCTGCAGGGGTCAGTTTAGATAGCATTACACGTGGCAGACACTTACAGATACGTGGCTTCAGCATATTCAGCAAACTACATTCAAGCTTCTGTTTTGTTCACCCTCGTCGCACTCACTGTATGTGGATGTGTTGGACACAGTGGGGCCTTTCAGGAAAGAACAGAGTGGCTCGAGGCAGAGCATGACAGGTCTTTAGAGGGACAGGCGCACAAGCAGACTGTGGACTGAAAGGAGAGCCATGAATTGAGCGTTGACAGCGGCCACGGCTGTCCGGAGGCTCAGGTGGTTGTCAGCCAGAAGTTTAGCTCAGCTCTTTGAGTAATTTGTCACGCCTGGCTCAGCCCCTGCTGGGCCAGCACGTGCCAGCTTAGTGTCAGAGTGCCTGTTCGCCAGACGGCCACTCAGGCCTAACGCCCTGCTGTTCCCCAGACCAGCGGCTTGCTGGGGCCATGCACGGAGGGCAGAGTCACAGCGACAGCCAAGTGCTGTGCAGAATGAGCGTGTTCATAATGAGACGTGCATGGCATTAGTGGGTCCCTCTAGAATTGGGCCTGTGTGGACGCCTCTTCCTAAGGAAGTTTGGCAGCCTGTTCATTAAGGCAAGTCACCAGGAGCTCAGCCGCAGTAGAGGAGCCTGCTCAAACTCCTGCTGCCTGGGCCATGGGCAGTTGCAACTGCCTTTCTTAAGATCAGACATCATCAGAAGGGCCACTGTGAAACCTTCAAATCCGTTTTTCTTTTTTGAAAGTTGAAAAGACCAAATTTAATGGGAGATTCTGGGATAAATAACGCGGCCCTTGAATGCCGTGTGCAGCAGTGAGTGTGTTCTGAGTCTGCAGTCTGGGAAGGGAAGCCATAGCCACGCATGACTCTTGAGTGCTGGGAATATTCCTGGTGGGACAGAGGAATCAAATTTTTATTTTTAATTTTAATTAAGTTTAGCGAACTACATGTGGCTTGTGACCATTATATTGATCAGCATAGCCCCAAGAATACCTCTGCTCCCCTTGTGGAATGAGTGTCTTTGGAGACTATAATTGGAGTAAGGGGAGGCAGCATCTATGTTGGGAAATCCATATGCATTCTGTGTCAAAAGAAAATGAAAAAATACAATTTTCCTGTTCTAAAGCATGTAATCAATTGAAAGCTAATTGAAAGGGCATGATAACCAACAGTGTGTATTTTCAAAGAGCTCATTTTGAAAAGATAGTATAAAATATGGTAAGAATGCTAGAATTACTTTTGTTCTTTTGGAGCTGCAAAAAGGAAACTAATGGTGAGCCCCATTTCCTGTGTTTCCAAGAGAATTAGCATGATGTTCAAAATGACTAAAACAAGACTTTGAACTTTTGCATTGGTAATGAGAAAAGGGAAAATGAGACATCATGCTGACTTCCCCAAGTGTTAATTCATAAAGTCATATGTGTGGTGCTTCCATCCGCTGCCGAATTGTTCTGACGTTATCCCGTTATTGGAAGTGCATGATTCACCTTCTGAGGAAACAGCCACACACAAAAGAGGAAGATTTGCTTTCTGCCCTGTGAATGGCTGCCACACGCAGGGGTCCTATTAAGACAGCTGGAAAGTTGCTTCAGCGTGTTACGCTTGTAAGTTTTATTGGTGACTGGTTTTTGATTACACATTTGAATGCGTGTGTTCCAGACTGCAGTTTTAATTAAAAGGCAGTAGTCATTTTTAAAAAAAAAAAATTATTGCGTTGTACTCTCTCTGCTATATTCCCTGCTTCTTAGTTCTTATTTTCTAATGTTCATAACCAGTCTTGGTTTGAGACAACCATTCCACTTTGGAGCATACGTTCCTGGTGATATGCCTCTTCCCCGTGATATGTGCTTTTTTATTTTTTAAAAAGTGCATACACAGTTGTCTTACTGGATGTATTGATTGACCCTTTTGGTCCACTGAGAAAAAAACACTTTATCCACTGATGTAGGAAGGGAAGATCCAACTTTGTCGCACAGTTCTCTGTGGAGAAAGTGGCAGCACAGTCAATGTCTCTATTTGTTTGTGTGTGTGTGTGTGTGTGTGTGTGTGTGTGTGTGTGTGTGTGTATGACTCAATCTTAATGAACTGATGCTTTGTGCATAATTTTAGTGATTTCAGGTTTGGGATTTAGGGGTTTGGGATGCAGCTAAAGTCTGTAAGAGAAATTTACAAAATAGGTATTTTATCATTAATTATGACTAACGTGTAATTCTATGAGAGGATGTTAATGGATTTTTTCCACCCAAATTGCTTAACTTAATTTAAAACAAAGCAGTGACACTCGTGCAGGTTATTCTATATGAGCATTAGTTTACTTAACCAGTCATTGCAGCTACGAAGAACGAGCCCTGTACCTTGAAGCAATAATTCAAAACCACCGTGAAGTCATGACATTTGAAGATTTTGCAGCCCAAGTCTTTTCTCCCTGCCCCAGCTACTCCCTCAGTGGAACGGGTAAGTGTCTACATTATTCTTCCCTCACACACTTCGGATGCACTCCAGCAGCAGATGTACACCTGTTTTTCACAGATAAATGCTTGCAAATTTAAGAAGAGCATTCTCCCTCTGAATCAACTAATGAATATCAAAAGGAATGATGACATTCATTTTAATTTGTTTTGTATCCAAGCTGTTCACTCAGTTCTTTTCTTCAGCTATCCTGTTAACCCCCGAATCTAGCAAGGTTAATGAACTTTTTCTCAGTAATGTGCTCCAGTTCATTCAGGAGTGCGGGTTTCTTGCTGAGCTGGGAATATGGTGTTTAAAAGCGAAGCCCGACTCAGTGCTTACTTATCAAAAAAGAGTTCCTCACAGTAGAAGCCGTTGCTACTAATGCTAAATGGGGATTATGCCGCTGAGATCCTCGGGTCAGGGATTAATGCCGGAGCCATGGAAGGACAGTGTCCCCGGCCCATCAGCCCGGCAGTCCGCTGCTCTCTGCAGTGGCCGGGTCACACGGACAAGCTGCCGACCAGTGCCGCACCTGCTGGAGGACCTGCTTAGGGGCTGACTTACAGAACCACTTTACTTTATTAGCTCACTGGAAATCTTGAAGAATTCTAGCTATTTCATTGTTTTCCAGTATTACTTTTTTATAACTCCCAATTTGGAAATGACACTGGGCTGCTGCTTCAACTGATTATATGATTACTGTGGAATTTTTTTTCTCCAAAGAATAGAATTACTTGTAAATTTCTTCATGTAATTACAGATTAATTGCCTTTCAGAGAGTAAATGGGATATTTAGTCAATGGATGTTGAAATTCTCAGGGAGGGGCTTTCTCTTTCTTCCACTGGTGTAGGCACAACTATTAGAGAGCTTAATAAATGCTAACCTTTGTCAGTTGTCTCTGATCCCCACCTTACTTCTCTGCTTCAGACTGGCTAACAAATATCTTATGCACAAAGTGAAAAAAATTAAAGTCAGTGAAATAAATCACTTACAAACAAAATCAACCATGCATCTTTGTTTAACATCATCGCTGGCTTCAATCCTGGCTTCTCGGAGCTTTGTTGGGAGATAAGAGGGAGAGGCTTGCACTTGCTCTGAGAGCCAGGAGCAGCAGGCAGAAGGCCTGGGAGATAAGCAGGCTGGCTGAGGCTAGGGAGCCCGCGAGATTTACATAATCGCGCCTCTGCTTCCTGGTGAGGCGTCGAAACACTGGGAGGGCCTCTCTTGATCTTTGTTGAACTGGAATACCCAAACAACATGAGAAAAGCTCAAAACTTAAAGCTCTGATTAATTTTTCTTACATTAGAAAAAAAAACTAGAACAGCTGTGAATTAAATTATTTTATATACTCTGCCAAAATTGAAAAAAAAAATTTAAATCAGTTTTAAGGAAAATGAAGATTTCATAACCTAACTAGAGTCTTAAGGCTTTTCTGATTTTTACATCGAAGATCACAAAAGATCTATGGCAAAGTTAATATTTCAACATTCTTATGTAACTTTTTCCCATTCTCATGAATTATTCGGATTTAATTCTTCAGTGCAGGTTTGGTGTTGCTTTTTGTTTTTCTTAAGTCTCAAGAAGGCTTTTGTTTCTTAAAAGAAATGGAAGAGTAGCTAGATAGTTACATTCCTTAACTCAAACAAGGGTTATTCTGAAGACTCGATTAAGTTGTTATTGAAATAATTATTGAACAAATTTTGTTTTCTCATTACAGTTTGCCTTTATATGAGTTAGTTCCCTCTTCTCACAAAATTCAGAATTACTTAAACCAATTCAGATGAGTTGGCATGAAGATAACATTTTGAGATTCCAAAAGTAATTTGAAATTTTTAAGACCTGCTGTTTGGAGAGGACTGCTGACAGGCTTCTTCAAGAATATCACATTTGCCAAAGTCACTTAACAGATAAAGGTTTCTGACAGCTCTTAAGAGTGCGTGCTGGAACCTGCACAAGAGAAACATGAAATCAAAGGTGGGCTATCAAGACACACCCTGGGCTTCCACTGTTTCAGTTCTTAACACAGTATTCCATTTCATCCTATTTGCAGCTCAGGCTCTTGGCTGTAGAGTAGGTGAACTTCCTATTGCACCAGTTCATGAATACAATTCAATTTTACGTGTGGACATCATGTTTCTTTTTCTATTGTGTATCTGTGTAAAAATTATTAGAAGAAACTAGAAATGAGCTTGATCTGAACAGAATTAGGGGGCATTGCCCTGAAAGTAGATGTACCCAAGAGACGTATTTCAGATCCTGTCCTCTCACGGATGGACGTCTCTGCCTTGAGGAATTCCTGTCCTTCTCTTACTACTTTAATAGATGAAAATATTTTTCATATATTTACAGTGTGTGTGTGTGTGTGTGTTTATGAGTACAGATGACTCAGATCCAGATGAGTCAGTCAGCTTAAACTAAGAAATTGAGGTGCAGTCTGTGCTCACAAACAGCAAGCCAACTGGAAACATTGACCCTGAGCAGCTTAAGCTCCCACAGTGCACGTAGGACCCAATCAGGCCATCGCGGCCCACAGTGGCATCAAAGCAGGGCCTTGGGCTCCTGCTCACATGCAGATGCACAGTCTGTGGAATTAGGGCTCCAAGGCTTTCTTTGTATCCTAACCACAAGAGGCTTTGTCGATAATGCAGTGGAAGAGTAACCTGAACACTGAATTCATCCCACACTGTATTTGTAGCAGCAAACAGCATCCATTTCTAGATGGAAGGACTCTAATTCCATACTTGAGGTCCTAGGGGCAACATGTAAAGATGTCCTAAAGCGAACACTCTGTGCCCAAAGATGCCACTGTTGGAAAATGCCCTTCCCTTGGCCCCCGCAGCTCTGGTTCTTCACCCACACCTGCCGTTGAAGGGCACTTGGCCAAGTGAATGTATTCTGTTCCTGATGCACTGCCCACTCCATAAGTATCTTGGGGGTTTGTTGGGTCTGCTGTCATTAAGCAATACATGGATGCTAAGCATTCTTAAAAGATCTTAAAAAGACATGCTCCCTATTTTTTTGCAGTCAGAATGCTGTTGTAGATTATCTACCTCGTATCTGTTGTGTCTGTTGCTTATGCTGGTGCCTTGCATGACATTGAGTGCTTTTTCTCTAGCTCTACAGTTTACCTTCCTTTGTTGACTTCTTCTTTATTGTGCAGCACCATCTAAGCCAATTTTAAAATATTGACTACATATTAACACATATGTGAGTATACATATATCTACCTATACTATGTATATATGCATTTTACACACTCTCACTCACACTGGGCACTAAGTTTGCATTTTAAAGCATGTTTCCAGGGAAGGGGGGAGCAGCAGAGAGGCCTTTAAAGGGTTAACTGGAATGGGCACCCTCCACTGCTGGGAGGGACTGATGTAATCACTGCAGCTCACAGCCAAGTGCATCTGTTCGCCATGAGGTCATTCTTCTGCATGCTAATGATTTGGAAAATCAAGTCTAATGTTTGACATTATCAGAAAAGATATAAATAGTATAAATTCTTACCCTGGAGAAGCATTTTTTATTAAAAAAAAAGAAAAGAAAAAACAAAACTTTAGCTTGGACTTAATTTTTTTTACCCCAGAGCCACTTTAAAGATTATGTTTTGACCTTAAAAATCTTGGAGGAATCTGCTTGTCTGATGATAAATGAATCCCCAAATCACGATTACAGTCACAGCTAGCAATTTAGTAGTCAAGGACTATAGGTATGTCTGACTTGGTATATAATTTTAAGAATTTCCAAGTATCTTTGTCAGTTGTTGGTCAAGATGGGTTTTTCTAGAACAATTAGTCCGAAACCAAGGTCCAAAAGGTTTTTCTCAGTATCCCCAAGTCCACTGTGTTAGCTGAAGATCCTGCTCTGCGTGTGCTCCTTCCTACACTAATACTGCTCTAGGGATCCAGCAGAGGGAGCACAAATCTCTGTTTATTTATTTGTGCTACATAAACACATTTGATTTCTCCGAGATATGCTCAGAAACATTTTCTCCTTCATAATAGGCTAGATGGTAAGGACAGCAGGATTTAGGATAAAGGGGAGAAGATACCTCACTAGGCTCCACCAGGGTCTGCCACTTTTAATGTAGGTTAAATTTGAGCTTAAACCAGATTGATTAGTCTGAGTCAGTCTCAGGACACTATACTGCTGCTGCTATTATATAAAATTACACACTTTGATCTTCACAGAAATTGCATTTGTGCCCTCTTGGAAAGAGTGATCGTGCTCACCTACCTAAGACGCTTGTAATTTTCTTTCCGCAACAAAATTATTATATTAAATTCATAGAAACTATCAGAAGGCTCAGCCTGGCTTTACTGTGTCCCTCTGGTGACCAATAAAATTTCTTCATTCAACTGTTGCATGTTGGTCCTAGAATGAATCTTGACTGTAGATGCTGTACAAGTTGCTTTGCCTGGAGGCATAAAGCTGCACCCTGATTTCACTTGCTACGACCTATGAGCCTTACACTTGTGCCAATATATGAATCAAGTTAATTCCCAAAACAGCACAGGGCAGACCCTAACTTTTAGACCCAGATTTCCCCATTTGTTAAAATGATGTCATGATGTTACAGATTTCATTTAGTGCATTCTTTCTCTTTCCCTTGCTCTCCTTCTCCTTTTTTCCCCCTAAATAAAATGATCTTAATGTGTTGATTGATAGCACTTCTTAACTTCTTATGTATTTACCTGTCTCAAAAATTTGCTAAACCATAAAAGACCATCATTAAAAGTAGAACTCGAAGGGAGTTCAAGAATAGCAAGTCTTAATCGTTCACATCAATTTTGAATTAGCTGAAGACCAAATTATGAAGGGACAACCAAAGGCTGTGAAGCTCGGAGAAAGTTGGCCAAGGGTCACTGAGCCTCCACCCTTCATTCCCTCCTACTATGTAGTCAGCTCAGACATTTAGTGACTTAGATAGTTAACCAGCTTCTACCTGGTAAGATGCCACCAAATTTACCTTTCAGTTACAGTGGTCACAGCGTTTAAA